GCAGCATTTAAGCCTCCTACACACGTTGACACATGTTCCGATGCATCGATTCCCAGGTTTCACGATACATGCTGCAATGTACGTAGTTCGGCATCAGGGAATCAGCATCAGAAGCAACTGGCATCACACGACAAACTGAGAAGAATCGATAGTATGGAAACAAACTGATGCGGATGTACTATTGAGAGATTGTTTGATAGTTAAGCTGAAGAATGGTCTGATTGGTCGGTTCCCTTTTTTTCACCTTATTTTTTATATTAATTTACAAACATTTATTATTACTAAACTGCAAAACGGTAATATTTAGTGAAAGACACTTCTTGCCCCTGTACTATGCTGCTAGACATCAATTCATCCTCTAACTACTGAACGTTGCTCAGAAGATAATTCCAAAAAAGGCACAGACAAGAAGGTACCTTCACTATAAGTTTTATTTATAGTTTCGATTGGTTACGTATAACCATACGAATATCTAATTAACATCAAACTTGAGATAAAGAAAGAAGAAAACTGATATTATATCCACATTCCTTCCAGACATCATCTTCTGCGCAACGAAGAGTAGGCTTCAAGTAACCTAAGAAGTTCACGCATCGCACAATGTTCCAGCGTGTGTAGGGAGCTTTATGAAGGAAACGTGGAGAAAAACGAGCCTGGACAAAACGACGTCCGCTAGAAGATGGTAGGAAGGGATGGAGAGGAAAAGTGAAGAGAGTACGCTAGTAATGAGAGTGAAAACAGAGGGAGGAGGACAGATCGACGGAACAGGGTAACGTGGAGGGGGTAACGGAGCAAGAAAAATGGCGGAAAACGAGGGAAAGAGAGAAGGGAGGAGGACAGCCACATTCAATACTATGCCGGTGGTTGTGGTTAGCAGTTGCCTAAGCCGGATATTCGAAATGGGAACCGAATGTGAACGCGATGCTCTGTGACGGCGCGATGCCGCGCCGCATACCTCGTGCCCGTGGCCCGGAATATGGCGGTACAGTTTGGTATTTGCGTTTTCAGGCGATCTAGCAACTGGCCCGGCAAGAATTTTATTCTGTAACGTCGCGGCGGCACGGCGTCCGGCGACAAGCCGTGAAACAGGTGATCCCGGCGCAGGAAGTTGTTTCACGCGTTCGCTCGCCCGGTTCGACGTTTCGTCACGTGTTTTACGATACAATCGCGGGGTTTCGTTCGGTCGTGTAGCACCTACCCTGGTCGCGCATAGAAATGCTCGTGTAAAGTGAATTTCTCGCTGACGCCGATAGGGAATCGATAACGCTGTCGAACCGTGACCGTTGTAACGGCTCGTTTTATTAGACGCGCACTGGTTGTACGATCGGTTTTGACGATCGTGCTACGGGCATATTGTCGAGTTGACGCTGGATTGATCAGTCCTTTCGGGTAAAATGAAACCTTCATGCGAACTTGCTCGGATAGCCGTACTCTGGGAGGATGTTCGGCTTTCATTGGGAATATTGTTTGGATTGGCACTTTTGTAAAGATACTTTGTTTCCTGCGTGATTTTAGGTTCCGATTACTTGTTATTGGCTTGTTTCGAAACTTATTCGGTTTCATTTATTAATATATAAGGAGGAAGGAGAAACGATAAGAGTTACATAGAAAATCACTATTTTAAGTTAAATAATTGAAATTTTTAATGAATGCACCGCTTATAAATATTGAACTGGAAAGACTGCAGGACATGATATTAGTTTATTTGAAAATGTATGATTTTGTGGATCACTACAAAGTTAATTCAAATAAAATTATACTCGATCCACGTAGTAATTAAAATAAGATTTCTCGGTATAAATGATGTGTTGTTTATTTAATATGATTATAAATACCGTTAACTCGTGTTAATATTCCCCTTTAACTTTGAACGGGATAGCTATCCAGATATCATCGGAATAGCTGAACGTAAGAAGTGTAGCCAGCTAACTCGTTGTCACAGGAGTCACGTTCACACGAAAGGAAGTTAAGCGATACGGAGACTACAATCGGATTAAATTTAACTGGCCGTTTAAGGCCGCCTCTCCAACTGTGGATCACTTCACTTTTACGCCATGTTAACTTTCCTAATCGTTTCATTTCCCTGATTGTTTATATTGTTCTTCTGCAAAGTTCTTTTGTCGAAATGGTATGCGAACACTCTAGCAAAAGTCGTACAGATCGATTATTCGCTTTGTGGGACTCGATGACAACTCCGGTAACATTAGCATTCGGCTGTCAATGTCGGACAGTGAACGGCTAATGTCTACGGAATTCGCAAGAGAAATCAGTTTCAGCGGATATCGCCTACGGGTGTCTCGTTGTGACTCTATCCATTAGGTAGCTTCGAAAACGCGCCGTTAATAAGCAACAAATCATTGCCGGAACTGTTGCCTTAAATATCGTGCCATTTCGAGAATAACATCTCTCGTTTTACGAATACGTATACGAGCAATATTATTCGCGTTAAAGTCATTCGCGAAAAGAATTGTTACATATTCAATCTGAGAATTCCATCGGCAAAAGTGAGTTCAATTAATCCTACACTGGTCAGCTTGCCAGCCATTACCAAGCTGCAAGACATATGACCATAAAAATCATTAAAATATCCCCCTCATCGTTTTCCTTTGAATTTCACATTAATGTTTTGCAATAAATCAATCCTCGGCTTTTTTACCCGGTGTTAAACAATAATTTATATGCGTCAACAGGGCAGTAATATATATAGTTATATTTAAATATTCAGGGAATCTATATCGGTAGTCGCATAAACGGTGGTTAATTTATAGCCGCTCGCTGTTCGAAGGGGGTAATAAATATTGCAGCAACCACAACGAAAGTTCTTATTTATGGCACTCGGGCAGAGGAGAAAATTTTTCACCGGCTTACGTAATTTTGTGAAGTCAACGGCTCTTGCATAATAATTTCTGTTCTACATGAAACTAAGCTAAGCAACTTTCAATGCTGCGCCGGGGCTGCGCCGCTACGGTTTCGTGAAAGTAGGTATACACAAGAGGAGGAAGACGCGCTCGCTTCGGCTCCGAACTTGATAAAGTCGTACCGAATAAATTCGTTAACGAGATTTCTTGCGAACTAGTTAAAAATTGCTGGCCAGTTATGGAAGCAAAGTGTTGCTCCGTCTTATCAATTCGAGGACTAGTATGCATGACGATGATTGGATTAACGTTGGAGTGCTTGAAACGTACATATATTTATATGGGCACAAAAGAATGGAACCACGCATGAAGTTAAAGAATGTAACCCATAAAATCCAAACTTATAATTTCATGTTATTGTTAAGTTGTACAGCAATCGAAGACTACGCTACTAAGTTAAAAATTAAAATAACCTCTATGATTTTCTCCTGATCTTCATACCTCAATATTTTTATATTACAGAATTTTATATTATAAAGATTCATATAATCAAATCATCAGAAACCTCTAGCCTACCATACTTCTCGAAATATTTACAATAACAGAATGAACTTGGACACCATATATACAGAGTCCCTAACCATCCATCAAACGTCCCCGCCTCTAAGTCAAGATTCACATACCGAGGAAACGCTCCCTCTTCCTTTTCTTCTCAACCTTCCTACCTCCAACAATTTCTAGACCATTCAAAACAGAATCACACATCCCACGAAAACTCCAATATTCTAATTTCAATGAACGATTCCTAATTGGCAATACCTAACACGACAGAAATTGATCGAACAACAGAAATATAATTCATCCCTATATATCCACCGTAACGACCAACCGCCCCTAACCTAACAAAAGAAGAACCCGTCGCCGAGGTGAACCGAAAAACTTCTGAGGAACAAAGCGAAGTCGGCGGAAGGAAATTTGCAAAAATTCGGGGAGTCTGCGGCCGGCGGCGTACAATACTTCTGTTGTGCAGTCGATCGGTCTGCCGTGCGTCGTGTCGCGTCGCGTCGGTTAGGTAAGGCGACTCCGCGGAGGGGTTCGGTTCGCCGAGGCCCTCCCGTTCCGCCGTTCACACAATGCATCGTCTTTTAGGTGGTTCTCCTCGTGGCAACACACAGTCAACATCGCGCATTAATACGCACCGCGCCGTGGCTTTTATGAGCTTTGGAAAAGAGAGCGATAGACTTCTCCACCCTTCCTCCACCTGCGCAATCCGCCGGGCTGTTTTCAACGTGGGCCGACCGCCACCGCCACCGCCGCCGCAGCAGCAGCAGCCGCCTCCGCGATGCGTGTGTTTGCC